CCAATACAATTGAGGCATAGAATTTCTTGTTTTAGTAAATCCCAGTATTAAAAAAAAAAAAGAAAACTAATCAGTGGGCATAGTTCTTACTTGTGGCAGCTTCAGAATGTAAACTGGGTTTCAGAGATATTGATGCCCCATTTCACACACCAGTCAAATATATGCATTGTCTAAAGGCATTCCTGTGAGAAAAAGAGGCAGCATTCTACTTCTGTATCAATTTACATACCTGGAATGCTTACCAAGGTAGTTCTCAGTCTGTCGTAGGAGATCGCGGTCAAAGTCACAATCAGCTCAGCAGCAGCAGGTTTGGTTTGATTTTGGAAAGGCTTAAGAGAAAAATCCAACAAATCAAACTCCTTGTTGAGTTGATTCCAATTCTAAGCAAGTCTAACGTAGGTCTTTGAGATACCAAAGCCATAAAACAAGAACATATGAATGCAGATTTGGGCTTGAGTAGAAATACTCCATTTAAAAACTTTTCATGAAGTGAGCCTAGTTAGATGGGATAGATTTTCTGGACTGTTATCTGGTCAATTATAAGCTCTCTCTCCAGCACTGCCTTTGGAGCTGATTATGTTATCATTTTATGGGTATTTATCACTACCCATAAAAATAGCTGTAAACTGAGAGCTGCATAAGTATAAGGGGCTGTATAGGATTGTTTTATGAGATAGCAATTGAAAGTTTATGTAGTTATTACTCTGATCTAAGGTTCTGGTATTTGAAACAAATCATCCTATGAGCTTGTTATGTCTGTTGTTATACTCTTAATTTAATGAATAATGATACTCTTAAAAGAAAATAATAAACAGGTTTTGAAAGTTAAATAATTTTCAATTATGAATGGAGAGCAAATTGATAGGGATTTTGTTGTGGTGGTATTATGTGTCGTATATCTCTTTCTTTAAAAAGTTGTTTGTACTTATAACTGGAATGTACTCCTTGATTTAATTTGTGTAAGAACTCAATACTGTTGACCATGCAATGTACCATAAAATGTCTAATTTTCATCATGCCAGATTTCATTTTTAGCCTACATAAAGAATTCTATTTTGTACTCAATGTAATTTCTGTTTTATAGCAGCTTTCTTCTTTCTTACCAGTTGTTTCTGCTATTACTAAGAAAATATATCATCATAATGCCTGACTAGAGGAAACAGTGGCACAAGTAATCATTCTCTTCTCTTCAAACTCTTAACCCGCATCATTCAGATGTCTAGTAAAGTACACACATGAAGTTGTTTTCATTTCCTATCCTCACAAAATCACTAGATTCTCTAGTTACCCACTCATCATGTTTATTATTTGTTCCATTTCTTGATCAAGTGTTACTTTGTCAGAAAGAGCGTTTCTGACCACCATGTGTGAAACAATATTTTACTATCTTTTTCTCCCCCTCCACCTTCTTAATTTCCTTTTGTTTCGGTTACCTAACTTCTGACATTATATCATAGAATGTATTTTTAATTGTCTGTCTTCCCTAAGTGAAATATAAGTTCCATAAGGGCTAGGATAATATTTTGCTATTAGTACCGTTGTATCCTCATGGTTGGCCCAGTGAATATTTGTTGAAGGATAAAATTTTATTGAAAAATTGATGGGAGCCAGGTGCTTGCTGAGCTTTGTTTATACATTATTATTTAACCCTCACATATTCCTGTGATTGAAGTATTGTTTTATAATCAGTATATTATGAATAAGGAGCTAAGCTTAAAATGGTAAATTACTTGTCTGTGACAACACAGCCGATAGGCAGAACTGGGATTTGAACCCATGGTCTTAAACATTATCTATTTCTCCACATGTGAGGTCTCCGAGGGGTACCCCTAAAAAACCAGAATTGCACTAGGCGGAGTGAAGCTTTCGTTGTACGAATTTTTCCTGCTAGGAGAGCATCAAGGAACTAGTTCTGAGTTAGTGCACCTAGTAGTGTCGCCTGGGAAGGTTCTCTCTGGTCACACTGCATTTTTTTCGTAGAAGCACTTCTGCTCGAACATTGTTTTTTGTGATGGCTGATTTAAGAGAATAGCATGCAGCTGTGAAATTTGATTCCTGCTCAGGAAAAATGTCAAAGCAACTGTTGTGATGTTGAACACAGCTTACAAAGACAGCGTTATGGGAAAAACTCAACTGTATGAGAGGTTTTCTTGTTTTGAAAAAGGTGAAATGTCTATTGATGACAAACCTTGTTCTAGACATCTGTCAACTTCCCAAACGGATGAAAATGTCAACTCACAGTGCATTTGGAGTCTGTTCCACCAGGTCAAGCTTTCTGTTTAGAGCAGTGGTTCTCAACCTGTGGGTCGTGACCTTTCACAAGGGTCGCCTGATTCATAACAGTAGCAAAATTAAAGTTATGAAGTAGCAGTGACTATAATTTTATGGTTGGGGGGTCACCACAGTATGAGGAACTGTATGAAAGGGTCACAGCATTAGGAACGTTGAGAACCACTGATTTAGAGGTTTTGACAAGATGGAATAACAGTGTTTGACAAAAAACAAAGGCCTGATTTGTGGCAGATGGGGGACTGGTCTTGTCACCATGAAAGGCACCTGTTCACGCAGCCATCTCAGTGTGCCAGTTTTTGGCATAAAACAGCATGGCTCTCTTGCCACATGCACCTTACTCACCAGACCTCACTCTGTGAGACTTCTTTTTGTTTCTGTGAATGAAGAGGGACATGAAAGGACAGCAATTTAACCAGGAGAAGAAGTGAAGAAAAAAATAAGGAGGATGCTGTTAGCCATCCAAACGGATGAGTTTGAAAATTATTTCAAAGAATGGAGTCACTGATGTGACAAATATATTAAGTTTAATGGAGAATACTTTGAAGGTGATAAAGTTGTCTTGTAAAAAAAATTAAATATATAGCTTGGGGGGGGAGAAAGTTCTGGGGTTTTGGGGATACCCGCTCATACTTTAGAGTCTAGAATATATTGCTTACAATGAGGTAAGAGATGAGTATAAAAGATATCTAGTACGTCATTATGTTTTGAGAGTTTATTTGCCTTTTAAAATTTAATCTCTTCTGATTTACCTTTTTTTAAAAAAATGAAAGACACATTTATGAATGGAAATTTAAGCAAAAATGTTCATGATTTAATTCAGTTGGGTTAGGCAGGGTGCCATCATCTTGAACTTTGGCAAATCACTTGCCTGCCAGAATGAATCAAGTAACTGTGGCTTTCTACCAGATTTTGTTTTAGAATTCCAGAATAATAGAAACAGATCTCTGAGAAGAGAGTAAATATCTTCATGGCTGAAGCTACTCACTTGTCACGAAGGGACGGGCTTGCAGCAATAGCATTCATGGGCAAATGCATTTTAAAAGAGAACAGTTCATTAGCAAGGGAGAGCCACATTTTCAGTTAGTTTCTATATTTTAATGTTTTCTTTTGTTTCAAAGGATTTCAAAGTCCCTTGTACCTTGTATATCAGTAATAAAGGGGACTTCAAAATGTTTGCAGGTAAGAAGAGTGTGTGCAAGCCACATCTGACTTCTTCTCTCTTCAGTACAGAGGAGAATCCATCTTCACACCAGCCGAAGACTGGTAGGGAGAAATAGGCTTCCACTCTCCAATTCCTTAACCGTACTCTGACACCAGTCATCCTTCCCAGGTCTCTCTGCTCCTCTGCTGGATGCCATCATTTATTACACTGGCCACACAGAACTCACAGACAATATCACAATTATGGGTTTTATTAAGAAAGCTAACAGGCTACAAAATGTTGAGGATTCAGTTCTTTTGTGTGCATTGCCTCCTCTAACCATGCTGCTTTCTGGTGGGCATGTCTCTATCTTGTTCCTCATGTTTTCTGGGCTGAGAGACCTGTTGCTCTGCCTCATTGTCTAGTGCTGCCACTCTGCTTAGCCTCGACCTCATGGTCTCATTGCTGCTGTTCTGCTCTGTCTCATAGATTTGGTGCTGCAGCATCAGGTTCCTCTTGCTGCCTTTGTCACGTCAGAAAGGGATCTTGCATATACTCTGCTGCTGGTTACTCTTTAATATTGATCATCATCGATCATGCCTGTTCCTGCTTCTGGGCTGGCTCTCTTAGACCAATATGAATGGCCAAACTGACCAATCCCCACTACCCTCTTTGTGTGATCTCATCCAACATTTGATGACAGTGAGAAAAGACGTGGATAGAAGAACCATATTTAACCAATTTTATTTCATCACAGTGGGAAAATGGAAGTAAATGATCACGGGAGTTTCCCACAAACTTTTAGCATACCCCTTGTATCTTTTACCTCTTATACTATAATTACTGTTCAATGATTTTTCTTTTATATAGGCTTATATTTTCTGATATGGTTAGGCCTTTGTTCAATTTATTATTTTATGGACTCAGCCGTTTTCTCACTTAACGAAGCACCGATGCTCCTTCCTTAGTTCATTAGGAACTTTCGGGTCATATTAACATGATCTTCAAAAGGTAACAAAGAAAGTGTAAAAAATATGTGATTCAGAATTTATTCACTTAGAAAATAGCACACTCACTGTATCCTACAAAGTGTTCTTTGTGCCATTTGCCATGTCAAGCTAGCAGCTAGGCGAGACTGATAGGAGAAGCAAGGGTTAGGTAGTGTCTCTGTGTAGAGGAGAGTTGCTACCGTAATTTTCAATATTATA